GCTCACCCAGTGAGATAACAGGCCATCCCTATATGGGATCCGAAACTGGGGCCTTGGTGTTATCAGCACCACACTCTCCCGAGTGAGCCACGGGCCGGCCCTAAAGTAACTTTTGAACAACAGTCAAGACCTTCTCAGTCATGAGGCCAAGTCAATTCTCTCCCTTCCCACCTACAACTTATTCACCTTACCTTCATTAAAAACTCCCAGTTCTCCTTAAACCTCGCTCTCCCTTATATCCAGCCACTCTCATTCCAAAACACTCATGACCCTTAAAACACAATTGCATGGAGGCTTTATACCTCTTTCTCAATCCCCTTCCACACATCTCCCCACATCCCATTATGTGGTTCATAGATGGGAACACCACCTCTGTGCCTGCCCCCCCGGGCAGGTTATGCCGTAGTAAATCTAACACAAGCTATTGAGGCTGCACAACTCCCAAAGGAGGCTGGGGTTATACACTGCAGAGGACACCAAACCTTCAACGACCCCATAGCCCAGGGAAACAAACTGATGAATCTAACCACAAAACAGGCTGCTCAGTCACCAGGCTCCCACTCTTCCTCTCCCACTCAGGTCCTTCCATGGCCTCTACACCCTTATCCCAATAAATACAGGTCCCAATAAATACTCAGGTCCTTCCATGGCCCCTACGCCCTTATCCCTAAGAAATACAACACCTCCAACAGTTGGGGGCACAGAGAAAGGACAACTGGTATACCCTCTCCAGTCGCTATGTCCTCCCTACTACACAAGCTGAGCAAATCCTTTTAGATTTCCATAATTCAATTCATATAGTCTATGAACTCCTAACACCTTCTTCAGCCCTTTATTACTCTCCCCACAAAAGGACACACTATCTTCCAACCTTAGTAGATACCTTTGCAGGTTGGATTGAGGCTTTTCCCTGCACTTCAGAGGATGCTACAGCAGTAACGCATGCTCTCACCTCAGAAATCATTCCTTGTCTTGGCCTACCCACCAGTCACTCACTTGCCTACAGGCTGCCCCCCGCAAACCCACAGGCCTCAGCCCTGTCGAACTTATGTACAGTAGGCCCTTCACTCTCACACCTCTCCCTTCCAGCTCATCGCCTTTAGGCCAGTATCTCCCTACTCTTTCACTCATTAGGGATCTTAGGAAACAGGCCAACCTTTTATTACCTCATCCTTTCCCCACCACCCTCTCAGACTTTAAACTGAGCCAGGGACAGCAAGTGTATATTAAAACCCGAATCCCAAAGCTTCTCTCATAATGTTGGGAAGGGCCTTATACAGTACTTCTCACCACCCCCATGACAGTAAAAGTACTAAGAAAGGCACCTTGGTATCACTTATCCTTGGTAAAACTAGCACCTGAGACTTTACCCAAAGAATCTGTTAACACCAAGCCAGAGGGGTCCCTCTACTCAAACCCCAACCCAGCATCTCCTCACACTTCATCCATTTTAGGACCCACAAAACCGAAAATCTCCGGGATCTTCCCTCTTGCCCCAATCCCAAAAGAAGGATGATCTTTCCCCCAGCGATTATCCTCTCACTCTTGCAGGCCTGCTTCACATCCCTCGCACAAGAGCTACTATTATACCATCTGTTCTAGTACTTGCTACAGGGTTGGAAGCAGCTGCCCCAAAAGATTGTAATATTATAGGAAGATTTCTCCTGGCATTCCTTTACCTCCTATCAGTAGGATGCTTCTTAGCAATTTCATTGTGGCAATGCGCCCTTTAAATTCTTTTGGCTCCGAAACCCTTTGCATTCTTCCCATGTTTTTCCTCCTATCTCAATGCTCCCCCTTACCCGAAACATGGAGGCTCCAGGCCTGCAGGGATGATGCAGTCCTCAGTGAATCAGACTGGCCCCAAGTGACTCATCTGTCTCCCACTTCGCAAGAAACTTTTTGTGGTCACCCCCCTCCCTGTCAATGCAGACCGTAATGTTTCCACAAATGTCTCTTCACTTTCCTCTAATCTCACCTCAGTGAGGACTGTCAGCGTTGTGCGGGACCTGCCCACACTCTGCCTCACTAACACCAAATGCTACCACTCACTTACCCACTCCTCATCCATGCCCTAAGACTGGAATATATTTCCTTTGTAAAACTACGTTATCCTGTTGCCTGCTCCCCTAACATGATTTCTTGCACATTCTTTTGGCTTGTCTCTGACATCACGCTCCAGACAGATGGAGAGATGGAGACAGGACTGTGACTAACTTCGGCTCCTCCCTCTCAGGAAGTGACCCTGCTCCCGTAGGGCACTAATTCTACTTTTTTAATTGGGGCAGGGATCCTTCCTACAACTGGAACCAGCATAGTGGGCCCTGGCTACTGCCTCTCAATTTTGTCAAAAACTCTCAGAAGAACTAAGCATAGATAGCATCTCCTCCCTCCAGTGACAGGTCACCTCACTCGCCACACTGGGCTTTACAGAACCATAGGGCCCTTTACTTCCTTACAGCCGAGAAGGAAGGCACCTTCCTCTTCTTGGGGGAGGAATGCTGTTATTATGTAAATGAGCCTGGGGTGATCCAAAACAGCTTAAACCATTTCACTGAACCCTTGGATACCCTGGCTTGTGCCCCTATTAGGACCCCTAACTGTGCCTCATCCTACTTTTTGGTCTCTGTCTCTTTTGGTGTTTCTCTAATTTCTTGCAGGAACATATACAGGCTTTCACCAACCAAAAGGTTGCTGAATTGTTCCTGCAAGGAGGATATCACCCCCTCAGAATCAGCAACCCTTCCCTGGAAGAATACAGCCTCCCCACATGAAACCAATACCCTGCCACCTAATTGTTTTACCTGCCAACATAAATCTTTTATTTTTTTTCCATATCTTCACCCATCTCCAGCAGGAAGGAGCTCAGAAGAATGAGACCTCCGCCCTTTTCCCCTTTTTCCTATACTTAAAAGGCAGGAATAATAGATCTGCAACATAACCAGTGCCACTTTAGACAAGCCCAAGTACAAAATGGCACTGTCCACCTCCTCCCCTCCCCCATTCTCTTTTACAAGAAGCCTCATGGGTTTTGGAGAAAATGAAACTTTCGGCATTTCCACATGTGCAGAACTCTCCAGTCCCGTGACCTAACTCAATCCCCACCCGGAATTATATCACCCAGCTCTTGGTGCCAACATACCAATATAAGCTCCCACCACCCTACATTAGCTGCTGTCCCCCATTTTCAGGGCAGCCCCAGGCTGTCCTCCATTTTGACTACAGCCCAGCAGATTTCTTTCTTTAATAAAGCTTGAACAGTACTCAGCATCTTGGCTCACTTTCTTTCATACTCATTCATTAATTCAATAAAATAACTTACTGACTACTATGTACCAGGCATGCTTTTAGATGCTGGGCATACAGGTTTGACAAACAGTCCTAAGCCCCTGTGCTCATGTTCCTTACATTCTAGAAGCTTTACTTAAGTGAGGTGGAGCCATTGGAGCATTTTCAGTGAAGAAATAGCACAATCTGACTCATATTAATAGGACCAGTGACTACTCTGGGAATAGTCATGGGTAGCAGTGAGGGGACAGCGATAGTGCCACAATTCAGGAGAGGGTGGTGGAGACTAAGGTGAGAAGAGGGCATGAGGGATGAGAGGAACAGAGAGAAGGGCTGGAGAAGCGGGAGGTGAGGAAAAGCAAAGGCAGCCTGCCCGATAGCTCAGATGGCTAGAGCATGGTGTTACAACACCAACGTCAAGGGTTCTGATCTCCATATCAGTCAGCTGAGGGGGGGGGGGAGAAAAAAATAAAATGTAAAGAACTCTAAAGCCATTGAACTTCAGATTTAAACTTACTGTTTTAAAGATTCTTTAACAAATGTATCTACAGAACATGGCAGGGCGCTCTTTGCATTTGGCATTTATACATTCTGTGGGAAAGCCTAATAAAAAATTGTCTCCTTATGTTAATCAGGTTAAAAAGATAATACCAAGTGTCCCAATAAAATACCAAGTGTCCCAATAAAATATGCAAACCTCTTAGATGTGAGTCATTCACAAACACAGGCAACGCATGAGCACTGGTGAAGGGCACTGCGCCTGCACCCAGCACTTGCAGCTGAGGTGGTTCAAGTTTGTAGACGCTCCTGGTTGAAATGTACAGCAACAATTTGAGCTACTTTATACTGAGTATGTGTCCTGGACTCAGACAAATTCAGGTATGGAATGGAGATAATTTTCAAATACAACAATCCAAGTCACAGATACCTAGTCTGGAAAAGTAAAATTTAGGAGCTTTGTGAGTGTAACTGCAATGCTGTTTAGACACATTTATGTATGAAGGGGCCAGACTCTCTTCTTTTACTGATTCGCTTCCTGATCATTCAGGGGTTACCAAGATGGTGCTACCCACTGCAGGTAATAAACAAAAAGGAATCTGATCTCTATGGAATCTGCATCTGCTGAATTCAGGCACAACTTGTCCAGGTTTGTGGGGAAAAACCCTGTCTCTCTATCTCTATTCCCAGGGCGACCTCACTCTCAGGCATCAGTTCCCTTGAGGTGAGTTTTCTTTTAGAATAGTCCAGGGGGAGAGGTAAGGAGTGGGAGGCAGAGCCAAGTTCAGGGAGAGGGATTCCAGGAGAGAAGGGAAAGGGACTGGGTCCAGCCTGGAGGTCTCTCCCTGCTTTCCTCAGACCGTCTCTGTGTCAGGACTCAGGGAGACCATGTGAGGAAGAGCGCTCAGTGCAGGAGGAGAGGGGTCAGGGCTAAGTCCCAGGTCCCAGGGAATGGCTCTCTGGGGATGAGGCCTGAGGGCGGTGTCTCCTGGGGAAGCCGAGCCTTGGGGATTCCCCATGTCCCGGGAGTTTCACTTCTCCCCCTCACAACCTGTGTCAGGTTCTACCTGCACAGTCTCAACGCGTCCCCAGTCCTCACTCCTACTGCGTGTCCGAATTCTGGAGAAGCCAATCACCGTCGCCGCGATTCCAGATTATAAAATCCCCAAGGACCTGAAGGGGTCAAATTCTCACAAAACGCGAGGAGGACTGTCATGGCGCCCCGAACCCTCCTCCTGCTGCTCTCGGGGGCTCTGGTCCTGACCGAGACCCGGGCGGGTGAGTGCGGGGTCGGGAGATTTCCGAGTGTGCCTGAACAACGTGCGCGGCTACTACAACCAGAGCGAGGCCGGTGAGTGACCCCGGGCCTGAGTCGCAGGTCACGAGCCCCTCATCCCTCACGGACGGACGGGGATCGCCCCGAATGTCCGAGTCTCAGCTTTACTCTGAAGCTTCGGGGTCCGCGGAGACGCAGGACCGGAGAAGGGCCAGGCGACTTTCATCCGGTTTCATTTCCGGTTTAGACTAAAGTCCGGCCGGTTGGTCGAGATGGGGCGGGGCTGGCCGTGGGGCGGGGCTGACTTCGGGGGCGAGGCTGACCTCGGGGGCGGGGCCAGGTTCTCACACTTTCCAGAGGATGTATGGCTGTGACGTGGGACCGGGCGGGGACCTCGTCCGCGGGTACCTTCAATACGCCTACGACGGCGCCGATTACATCGCCCTGAACGAGGACCTGCGCTCCTGGACCGCGGCGGACGCGGCGGCTGAGATCACCCAGCGCAAGTGGGAGGCGGCCGGTTGGGCGGAGCAACAGAGGGCCTACCTAGAAGGAGAGTGCGTGGAGTCGCTCCGCAGACACTTGGAGAACGGGAAGGAGACGCTGCAGCGCGCAGGTGCGAGGGGCCGCGGACAGCTCCCATCTCCTGCACACGTCCCCGCTCGCCTCCCACACGGAGGGGAGGGAAATGGGATCCTCGTTAGAATATCGCCGTCCCTTGGGTCCAGAGGGGAAGGATTCTCCTGGGTTTCCAGTTTCTGTAGCAGAGAGGGACTCTGAGGGCCGCCCTTCTCTCAGGAAATTAAGGGGCGAGTCTCTCTAGGATTGGAGGGGAAGACAGTCCCTGCAGTAATTAATCAGTGGTTCCCTTTGACCCCTGCGGCAGCCTTGTGTGTACCATGAATTTTTCTGCTGGGGCTTATTCTCTGCCTCACACTAAGTATGTTTGGAGGTCTGATCCCAGCTTATCTGAATCTCTTGGCTTCCTTCCAAGTTAGGACCTCAAGGCCCTTTCTCCCCAGAAGTGTTCTACCCTGCAGTTCTGTCTTACCCGGAGTCTAGAACTTACCAAGGGATAGGAAATTATACCAGATGTGTATGTCCAGGCTGCTGTCTGGGGTTGTGCTCCCTCCCCCACCAAGGGTGGTCACATGAGGGCTGTTTCAGTGCCCGTGGGAAGTAACACAAAGTGTCTGAATTTCATGATTTTCCTCCTCAGACCAGATTTCATGATTTTTCTCCTCAGACCCACCAAAGACACACGTGACCCACCACCCCATCTCTGACCATGAGGCCACCCTGAAGTGCTGGGCTCTGGGCTTCTACCCTGCAGAGATCACCATAACCTGGCAGCGTGATGGGGAGGACCAGACCCAGGACACGGAGCTTGTGGAGACCAGGCCTGCGGGGGATGGAACCTTCCAGAAGTGGGCGGCTGTGGTGGTGCCTTCTGGGGAGGAGCTGAGATACACGTGCCATGTGCAGCATGTGGGGCTGCCTGATGCCCTCACCCTGAGATGGGGTAAGAAGGGGGGTGAGGAGCAGAGCCTCATGTCAGGGAAAGCAGAAGGCATTCTAGACACCTTCAGCATGGCAGGGCTGAGACTTGGGGATCAGGGTCCCTCACCTTCCCTTCCCTTCCCAGAGCCACCACCTCAGCCCATAATCCCCACTGTGGCCATTGTTGCTGTCCTGGTTATCCTTGGAGTTGTGGTCACTGGAGCTGTGGTTCTAGGTGTTGTCATGTGGAGGAAGAAAAGCTCAGGTAGGGAAATGCTGAAAGATGTGGTCTGAGGTTCTTGTCTAACTGGGGGGCTCCAAGCCTCACGTAGAACTGCTTCTTGCCTCATTACTGGAATGTACCATCCACACACACGTGCTTACCTAGCCTGGGGCCCTGTGTGCTAACACCTACACTGTTTAAAGCACATGTGAAAATCAAGGATAAATTTGTCACCTTGATGATTGTGGGGATGGGACCTGATTTTCAGCAGTCACAGGTCACAGGGAGAGGTCCTCTGCTGAGGACAGACCTCCAGGAGTGTGGTTGGTCCAGTCGCCACACATCCTATTTCCCTGTGTTTTGTGATTCTGCCATGAGCCTACACAGTTCTGGAAATTTCTCTGGGATTTAAGACTAGGAAATTCCTCTAGTACCTCCTGGTCCTGCCTCCTGCCCGGTCTCTCACAGGATGTTTTCTTCCCACAGGTGTAAAAGGAGGGAGTTATGCTCAGGCTGCTAGTAAGTAAAGTGTGGGTGATGTCTGAGACCCTTGGGACAGTGTAGATGTAAGCACATGAGGAGCTCTCCCACCCCATAATTCCTCCTTTAGCTGTATCTCCTGTGGGCTCTGACCAAGTCCTGTTTGTTCTATCCCAGGCAGTGACAGTGCCCAGGGGTCTGATGTGTCTCTCACGGCTTGTAATGGTGAGACCCTAGAGGGCCTGAAGTGGGAGAGAGGGTGGGACAGAGGGGACTTGACTGCGTTATGGAAACTATTTGATTGGGACATTTTGAGTGTGGTGGGCTGTTCAGGATGCTACTAATTTCAGTGACTGACCTGAATTTGTTTTTTGTTTTTTAATAGCATGAGACAGCTGCCTTGTGTGGGACTGAGTGATGCTAGATTTGTTCCTGCCTCCCCTTTATGACTTAAGATGCCTCTTTCTGCAAATGGCATCTGAATGTGTCTGCACTCCTAGTAGTATAATGTGAGATGTGGAGGACCAGCCCACCCCTATCCACCCAGACCTCTTCTCACCCTGACCTGTGTTCCTTTTCCAATCAACTTGCCTCTAAGCAGAAGTGGGGCTGGGAGGTCTCCACCCCTGTCTTAACTTCATGGTGCACTGAGGGGCAACTTTTTACTTCTTTCATGAAAATAAGAATCTGAATATGTTTGTTTTTTCAAATTCTTGCTGTGAGGGGTTGACATATTAATTGAAGGGAAGGAAGATTTGTGAAATTTGAGAGTGGAAATAAATGGAAACAATGAAAACTTTCTAGAATCCGTGTTTGTTGTGCTATGTCTGTTGCAGGTGGGGACAGGGGAAGACTGTGATGATCTGAGCATGGATGGGGCCTGTGCCCAGTCTGTGCTCAGTCTGTCGTGGGCTTTGACATAGTCATTCCTTAGCTGGGTCATTTTCACTGCTTCCTTGTCTTTGTACGTTCAGTAGAATCTTGTTCCACCAGGACCTGTGATCACAAGGACTCAGACATCACCTGGGTCTTGTCCTGTCTCCAGGACTGTGAGCAGTGAGGGCTGGTGTGGTCAGGTCAGCCTAGGCTTTGGCCTGGGTCCAGCCTTCAGTTCCCATCCTTTTTGTGTTTATATTTTGTGTCTTTTTTTCTATAAAGGCTTATACCTTTTATTGTTCTTGTACATGATTTCTGGTCTCATTCTTCTCTAGTTATCTCCCATCTCTGACAGCAGCCGGAGTTGTCATTCCTGTTATCGTCCTCACAAAGGGTGGCTGCTGCACAGAGACTCTGTGGTATCAAAAGATGACTTTTCAGTCTCATCCAGATCTTGCCCTTGCAGGGCTGTTTCCGGATTGGTTCTATCCATCTCTTCCCCAACTTTTTAAAGGAACCTGATTTTGGAATTATCAGAGAGAAGGAATCTCAAGGTTTCTTATCTTAAATAAACTGCTGTTGGAATTTTGTCCTGCTCGCCTACCTACACCCTCTTTCTGTCCTTATCTCTAGTAATTGTAGTGTTGACTCCAATCCAAACTCATGGATTTATAAATCTGATTTAGGTTTTTCTTTGATTGGAAAATAGGACCCATAAGTCAAGGACTGTCTTTTCTGTTTTTTTGTTTTGTTTTGTTTTTGTGACCAGTAAGGGGATCGTAACCCTTGGCTTGGTGTCGTCTGCACCGTGCTCAGCCAGTGAGTGCACCAGCCATCCCTATATAGGATCCGAACCCCTGGCCTCGGCACAGGAGCGCCGCTGCGCTCCCAGTGCCGCACTCTCCCGAGTGAGCCATGGGGCCGGTCCAAGGATTTTCTTTTCTGAAGAGAGAAATATAACTGTGTGCTCTGGTGCACAGGAGGCCTGGGGAGGGAGGGGAGGGAGAGACAAGGGAGCAGCACTTATGAGAAGTACACAGGCAGCTTTGATGTCAGTGTGAGGGGACATTGTGCTGTAGCTGCCACAAGACAGCATTATGTCTGAAGCTGCTTTAATAATAATAATACTGTCTCTGGAATAGGGAGGTTCTCTACCATGACCATCCATTCAACCATTCTATGTTGTGAGCCAGATATGTGACATAGTGTTTCTGTATCTGGGAAACATCACTGAAGCAAAAATAAACCTTGCTGGCCTTGTGGAGCATATGCTCTAGTGGGAAGAGACAGACTTTTTATACTCTATGCAGAGTAACTAAGGAAAGTGTTTATAGTGGAAGGTGGCCAGTGCTGTGGGGAAGGTGATGCACAGTGCAGTGTGTGGGGACAGGGAAGAGGGCTGTTTTACTAGGGTGGTCAGTGTGGGCCTTGTTGCAAAGGTGACCTTTGAGGAAAGATTTGAAGGACATTTGGAATTATCCATGAGGATGTCTGGGACAAGTTCTCCTGAGGTGGGGGAACCCCCAGTGCAAATGCACTGGGGCAGGAAGATGTATGTGTTCTGGGAAGAGTGAGGAGGCTGGGACAGCAGGAGCAGAGAGTGACTGAGATGACGTCAGCTGCAGCCACATCACGTAGGCCTGGAGGATGTTAGACGGGTTTGACATTTCTCTGAATGAGATGGGGAGTTAGAAGACAGTGCTGAGCAGCAGAGGGACATGGTACAACTTCTCTGGTGAAAGGATCCCTCTGGCTGCTGTGCTGAGAACAGGATCAAGAGGCGAGGGCCAGTGAGGTGGTAGGAAAAGCGTAGGGGACTAGTGCAGTGCTCCCGCCAGAGATGTCAGTTGCATCAACAGGTGTGAGCGGTGGAAATAGTGGGAAGTGACTGGATTCTGGATACATCTGAAGACAGACTTCACAGCATTTCCTAATGCATGACATCTGTGATATGAGAAAGAGGAGACAAGGGGGACACCCTCATTTTGGACCGTACAGGTAGAAGGATGGAGTTGCTGTCAGTGGAGAAGAGAAGACACTGGAAGAGGCATATGTGAAGAGGGGACATTACAGCTACGCTGTTTAGGAGATGTTGAAGCTGAGATGGCTGTTAGCAATTCAAGTGATGTGGTTGGGTTGGCAGTTGGATGGATGAGTATGGAGTTTAGGAGCAATGTCAGAGAAGAGAAATAGATTTGGAAAGTGACACCATATAAATGATATTTAAAGTCTGAGCACAGATGAGGTCACCAAGTGAGAGATTGGCTGTAGATGAGAAAGGGAACGAAGACTGAACTCTGGACTGAATGGTGAGTGATGTGATCAGACCACATGCCCAGAGCAGACCACACAGTGCTGACATGTCTAGAAGACATGTAGACCAGCGAATCCCAGACTTTACTGTGCACAAGAATCACCTGGATGTCTTGTTACCATTCAGACAGCCTGGAGTAGAAAATGAGATTCTGTATCTATAACAAGGTTAGTGCTGAAGCCGCTTGTCTTTAGATCACTCTTACAGGCTGTGTGTCATCTTCACCTGTAAAACTTGTTAAATAAGTGATTTCTTGACCCTGTGCCTAATCGTCTCACAGAGTGGGTTTGGGGAGAGGCCTGAATATTTTGTAACAAGCCAACAAGCAATCCTCGTGCTCTGCCAGATTGGGAACCACTGAAGTCAGTGATCAGTGAATGTTCAGAGTGAGGAGATGTCTTAAATCCACATTTAAAACTGATTTTTTTTCATCTCAGAAGGAAAATGGAAGACAGATATTGTCAGTTATGAGATGTGGTGTTGGCAGATTCATGTCTTTCTCTCTCCCATGAGGTATAGCCAGATGGAACTATGGAAGATTCACGATGTGATTCACAGCTCAGCACAGACAGCGTCTCTGAATACTGCTCTCTGAAACTATTCCCCAGATTTCTTACCTCTTGGAGCAAATAATGGAATCCAAACTTTCTAATTTACAGATAAAGTTATGTGTATGTGTATATATGTATATACACACATATGTAATATATATGTATAATATTACATGATATTCAAGGTTAATTTCATTTTGGGAAAAGCCACTGAACAGGGTTGAGGCTACACAGCAAGGAACAGAATCCACAAACCACTCTAAGTTGGGTCCCACATAGGAACCACTGCCCCGCTGCTGGGCACAGATGCTACTGCTCACACCACTGACACCTTGATTCTGGACACTGGACCCTGTGGCTAGGACTGCTGTCACTGCTGCTTCTGGTAACTGGGTGTCACTACTGCTGGTCACACACCGTTGCCAACTGCATTCTGCACAGTCCCAGCCTCACTGTATCACCACGTCCTGAGTTAAGAGTTTGGCATGTGGTCATCTGAGTGGTGGAGCCAAAGCCTTATGCATGTGTCCACTAACATTCCTACAATGTTAGGGAAAGTGAGTTTTCCTCTCTTATGGAAGGAAGTGGTTTCTACCTCCTATCAAGTCTTCAGGTATAGAATTCTCCTGACATAGTAAGAGGGTTCAGATGCTGGACAGTGATGAGTGGAAAGAGAACACCAAATTGCAATCCTGAAGACTAGAACTCAATCTGGTACTTTGCAGGGACTCAGGTTTTGCTGATGAACAAGTGACTAATAAATGACATTTTTCCACTCATTCTCTTAAGAGTATGTTATTAGATATGGCTTTAGTCCATACAGGGTTATACTCTAGATAACTGGAGGGGCATGTGGGATAGTGAAATGATCGTGCAAAACATCTTCTCCTTGCCTTTGTCTCTTACTAGGATTAAAACACCCAGCTCTGTAAGACTTCAGAGCATCTGTGTGTGTACTGATATTTTATATTAATGTTTATATTTCCTTGTATATGAAAATATTTCAGGGGAGAGAATCTCTAACATTTTTCAGTTTCTATGTGACACCACAAAGGAATAAAAAAAAAAAAGTCCCAA